TGTTCTCTCCCTCTCCCTTCTCCCTCCTCCAGTCCACTTTCCAACGTACTTCTTGTTCCAGATTGTTAAGTGTCATGATGTTCAATCATAGATTCCTTTCTGAGAGTTTTCCTTTTAGTCTGTTCCAAAGCAATGTTCTATTCTTATATTTCTATTTTATGACAAGGTGTTATTGCAGTATTTGTCCTTTTTTAAAAAAAGATTTACATTTTTTTTTATTTCAATGAAAATCTACAGAGATTTTGGAATTCCATTCCTTCATTGTTGCACTTTTCTCCCCGTCCCCCCAAGTTGTAAATTTCTTAAATATAATTTGGTTTTGATTGTATGAATACTAACAAAATGATTTTATTACATTTATTATTAGTAACTTATTTCATTGACTATGCAAAGGCTTTTCACTGTGTGGATCACAGCAAGTTGTGACTGACTCAGAAGAATGGGAATCCCAGAACATTTGATTGTGCTTATGCAAAACCTATGCTTGGATCAACAGGCAGTCGTATTACATGGTTCAAAATCAGGAAGGGGGTCCGCCAGGGTTGTAGTCTGTCTCCATACCTTTTCAATCTGTATGCAGAACAGATTATCCAGGACGCTGGGCTGTATGAGGACAAATGTGGCATCAGGATTTGTGGAAGTGTCATAAACAACCTGCGTTATGCAGATGACACAACTCTTCTTGCTGAAACTGAGAAGGACTTGAAATGCTTGCTGCAGAGAGTCAAGGACTGCAACCTTCAATACATACTGAAGCTCAACATCAAGAAAACAGATTCTTACCACTGCACTATTTGGTATGGATGGTGAAGAGATTGAGATAGTTAACCGTTTTAGCTTGCTTGGTTCCACAGTCAACACTCTTGGTACCAGAAGCCAGGAAATCAAGAGACGAATTGCATTGGGAAAGTCAGCTGTCAGGGACCTCTCCAGAGTAGTGAAGAGCAACGACATAAGGCTGGTGACTAAGGTGTACCTGATCGAGCCTATAGTCTTCTCAATTGCGTGCTAAGCATCAGAGAGCTGGACATTAACTAGGGATGATAGAGAATTGATGCCCTTGAGCTGTGGTGCTGGAGAAGAGTGTTGAATATACCAAGGACTGCTGGGAGAACTAACAGGTTTGTCCTGGATAGGGTGAAGCCAGGCTGATCCTTTGTGGCAAGGATTCTGAAGCTTCGTCTGACATATTTTGGGCATGTTGCAAGGAGGGACCAATCCTTGGAGAGGGACATCATGTTTGGGAGAGTGGAGGGACAGCGCCAAAGAGGAAGACCCTTGATGAGATGGATCGATTCTGTGATTAGGGTAGTGGGAGTGAGTGTGTCTGTGATAGTGAGGTTGGCACAGGATACAGAGTTCTTATACAAAGGGTTGCTGTGAGTTGCAAGCAATTCGACGGCACATAACAACAACAGTGAAAGACTTTAAAAAAAACTTTTCTCTTTTTCCTTTAACTTCATTTTCCAAAACGTTAATAGAGGTTCACAAATAGTAGTTACCAGTGCAGCAATGAATGAATGGAAATCCAAATTCTCTATAAATGTTCATTAAAATTATTTAAAATAAAATAAAATTAAAAAAACAAACAAACAAATAGTAGTTACTAGGATACTGTAGCTAAAATACAAAACAAAACTGATAAAAATCAGTAACTATTTAAAAGTGAGCAGCAATAAAATGG